ACTGACAGTCCTACTTCCATCATGCACCTGATACCATGATGTTTCTAAGATTCCCCAAAATGGAAATGGGCAGTATTCAAACCTTATTCCAACTTTGTCCTCCATGAATATTCAACTAAATCTCATCCCAGACACCACCCTCTGTGTCTCCAGATAATGTAAAGGGGTGACCTTGAACCATTGAGTGCAGGCCACTCTTAAGTTGGCCAACACTCACTCCTGAGTGTATTATTTCCACTTGTTTCAATGCCAACCTTTAACTACATTCCATACCCAAACTCTGTCTTGCTTGGTAGACAGTGGAAGATGGCCTAAGTCCTTAGGTCCCTGCACCCATGTGGGAGACCCAGAAGAAGCTCCTGGCTCGGGTTTCAGACTGGTCCAGCCCCAACTGTTGCAGCCATTTGGGAAGTGAATCAGTCTCTCTCTGTCTCTCTCTGTCTCTCTCTCTCTCTCCATAAATCTGTTTTTCAAGTAAATAAAAATAAGTCTTCTAAAAAAAGGTACTTTCTCCCTCATTAATAATCAATTGTGAATTAAAATAACTTAAGAATCCTATCTTGTTCTGTTAGCTTAAAGGAATTCACTATAGTTGTTTAAGTGAAGCATTACCAGGTTTATTACCTAATATTAAAGTATCCAGAGACTTTAGAAAAAATTTAAAAAGTGGATAAAAAAGATCAGGACTAATAAATGTTTGAAACCATACAAATGAAGTAATTACCAGCTACCTAAGAGTGCATAAATGTGTCAAAATTAACAGGAAATGTGTTTTAATTAGAAGTGTCATATTTTAAAAATCCTAATAATACAGGGTTTTCATTTCACATTTAAATATGTCAAAAGCACTTCTAAGTCCATATGACTAAGAAATGAAACAAACCTTCCATATCTCCACAGAACACAAAGGAAGAACAGACAAAAGCCTTTCGAGATTTATGATCTTTGCTGTGAATCACACATTATGTGATATTAGTATATCCACCTCATCTTCAAAGAATAGCATCTCTCTCTCCCTATATGTGTGTGTGTATAATATTTACATATAAAACAGATATAGAAAAATGTTAAAACTCTGCCAAAATAGAAGGTCATATAGAAATGCATTCTGCATTAGAAAATATAGTTCCCTTTTAAAAGGGAAGGATTAATTTCTGCTAATATCAGAGATAAGGAGAGAATATTTTTAATTGTCTATATGAGAGTGAAGAAGGTAAACTTTGCACAAAGCAATGGCAATTAGATTGACAATACTTTTCATCACTAAAAACAGACAAAGTCAGTGAATTGTTGTCTTCCAAGTGTTCAACTCAGAATCCTTTACACTAGTTCTATTATAACATATGGGAAGTGTGGTAAGAATAAAGTATAGGCATTTAAGAAATGCATAGACTACAAAAACTTAATATCCATCCTGAAGTAACCACTGAAGAATGTAGCTGAGGAACACAACAATCTAGATAGAAGAAATAGGATTCAAAATAAAACTTTAAAAACAGCAGCAATGTTCAAATATGCTGTGTTAATTTTCCATTAGTGCACTTACCAATGAACACAAATTTTGTGATTTAAAACAACTCAAATTTGTTGTCTTGTAGTCTGGAAGTCAGGTGTCCAAAAGCAGGGCTGCTAAGCTAACACACAGGGGTCAACAGGGCTGAAGTGTGGGGTCTCCTGGGGAAGGAGCCTTTCCCTGGCTTTCTCCTGCCTCTGCAGGACTCCTGCATCTTTGAATTGTGGCTTCTTGTTCCACCTTCAAAGCCACCAGCACAGTGGCACTACTGCAAACAATCCATTCAGGTCAAAGAAATCTTTATTTGCAATTTTTATAGACTAAAATATATCCTATATATACACATGTAAGAAACTCCTCCATGTACATAGGTATGTGATATGACAATTCAAAGTAAAGGTAATATGCAGCCTCATTGTAAGAAAGAATGTTAATGATGAGTGTAATAGCAAAATATGCAAGAAGAGCAATAAAGGAAGAAATATTTATGAAATTGGGATAAGGAGTATTTTCTATAAGAAAAAAGCAAAGCAATCACTAACTGTAGAAAAAATACAGTATATTTTGACTTCATTACAATTACAGACATGTGGGGTGGGCATTTGCACAGTGACTTAAGCCACCACTTGGGACACCTGCCTCTCACAATGAAATCCCACCTCCACTTCCAAGTCAGCTTTCTACTAACATGTGCCCTGGAAGGCAGCAGATGATGGCTTATGTCCTTGGATCCCTGCTGCCCCTGTTGGAGACACGAATGGAGTTCTTGGCTCCAGTTTAGTCCTGGCTCAGCCCTGGGTACTGCAATAATTTAGGAAGTTAATCAGCAGATGAAAGATTCTCCTCCTTTGTTTCTCTCTTTCTGTCACTCTGCCTCTCAAATAAATAAAAATAAAGATTAAAAACATCGCATAGTCTACAAGAACAAAAAGATAACATAAGTAAAGCTAAAAGAAATAGGATCAATTTGAAAAAAATATAGTGTACATGATAATGTTTAGAATTTGTGGAAGAAATATAAATTACTATAAAATTTGGAGAGTAAATTTTTAAGATCTGTAAAAACAAAAAATGATCAGCAAGGAACAGAACCAGTAGCTCTTCCTCATCTAAGTCAGCTTACTTTTCATGGTTTCAGTCACCCAGGGTGAGCTGCAATCTGAAAATGTTAAATGGAAAACGTCCAGGAATAAATACGGAGTTTTACGATGCACATTGTTTTAAGTTGTGTTATGAAGCCTCTTGTCAGCCCTCTCCTTCCACCTCCTTCTCATGAATTGTCTCTTCATCCAGCACCCTTATGTAGTCTATGCTGTCCACTTGTTAGTCATGTAGTACCCCTCTCAGCTATTGAGTGTGGTATCACCATACTCATGGGACTCAGGGTACCCTTAATTTATGTAATAGTGTCCCTCTGTTCAAGAAAAATGGTGCTGGCAATTTGGGTATGCCAGAGATAAACTGTCACTGCTTCATTCAGGTAGAAAGTTGAAGATATATTTGGAGAGAGAGAGAGAGAGAGAGAGAGAGAGAGAGAGAAACCACATTCCCCATAACTTTTATCACAGTTACTACAATTGTTGCATTTTATCCTTAGTTCTTATTGTGGGTTTCTTACAGTTCTGCATTTATAAATTAAACTTTATCATTGACATGTGTGGATAGGAAAAAACATAATATATACAGGGTTTGTTGCTATCTTTGTTTTCAGCATCTGCTACAGTTCTTAAAATGTGTGCCTCTTGGATAAGGGGATGTAATATATATGACATATATAAAATATATATTGTATATGCCTGTGTATACACACACACACACACACACACACTTTTTTTTATTCATTTGGAAGGCAGAGTTAAAGAGAGAGAAAGAGAGAGATATCTTTCATCCTCTAGTTCGGTCCCCAGAGGGCTGCAATGGCCAAGGTTGAGCCAGGCCTTAGTCAGCAGACAAGAGATTCTTCAGGGTCTCCCACACAAGTGGCAGGGTCTCAAGTACTTGGACATCTTTTGCTGCTTTTCCAGGCTATTAACAGGGATCTGGATTGGAAGTGGAGCAGCTGGGACAAGTACCCATGCCTGTATGGAATGCTGGTGTTGCCGGTGGCAATTAAACTCCCTATGCCATACTCCATAATCTGGCCAAATATATATTATATATATTTTTATATATTTATATATTTATATATATATTTATATTTATTATATATAATATATTTTATATATTATATAATATATATTATATATATATAAAATATATTTAATATATTATATATGTATATATAATATATACATATATATTCCTCGTATATACATGAGTGTGTTTTATATATACTCTTTAACTATAAATACAGCACAGCTACACTAAAATGTTTATTGCAGCAATACTCGTAAATATAGAAAAGTGTAAAAGTATAGACCTCCTGAATAATCTCTAAAATAACTAACAAATAGTGTTCTAGGTAACAAATAAAAGGAAACACATCTAAACAGCACGTAGGTATTGATTTCAAGGAGTATTTTGAATATGGTGTGGAATGTCTATAGTGTCATAATTTAAAAACACTGCACTCAAACTGCTACATTTGTAAATATGATGTATTTTTTCAACCAACATTGAGTATATTTTTTTCTTAGGAAGTTTGCTGTATGGTGTGAATCTGTGTGTGTGTGTGTGTGTGTGTGTGTTTGTATACAGATAGAAAGTGAGTTGGATTCATAAGTAAGGTTGCTTCTCACTATAGCTGAGCAATGGGGAAGGACGGGGGAAAGGAATGACATACATGATGACACTAACTTAGAATTTACCTCTAACACATTATCTTCTTAATTTTAAAACTTTGGCTACTATTTAGTCATAAAAAAGGATGAAATATTTGCCCTTTGCTGTTAGGTGGTTGGAAGTAGAGGTCAGTAGGTTAAATAATGTAAGCCAGGACCAGAAAGACAAGTGTCCATTATCTGCCTGGGGGATATGAAGAAGTTGACCTCATGGGGAGAGCAGTGGTTACACAGAGGCTGAAGAGGGTGGGAGGAGGGAGAGTGTGGAAAGCTTGATTGACAGGAATTAACTTATAGTTAGGAAGGGGTAAGGTGTTCTGAGTTCTATTACACAGCAGGATGACTATAGATAACATTAATGTGCTGCATGTTTCTCTTAAAAAATAAACCAGAAGAAAGGGAAGGAAGAAGGGACGTACCCTTATATTATTAGAATTGTATTTATAAACAAGATTAAATCTGTCCTCTTCATATTGTAAAACAAGTAAATAAATCAATTGGTAAAGACAGAATTTTAAATGTTTTCAACATAAAGAAAATTATTTGAGACAATACATTTATCTTGATTCAACATCAGTATATACATATATTGAAACTTCACATGGAATCCTATAAATATGTACAATTCATATATGTCAGCTTAAAATATTTTAAAAGGCAGCAAATGTTAAAGAATTATTAATATTTACAGTTTGCGAAGGCTTACTTTTACATTTGGTAGTTTAATTTTTTGTATTTTAATATTGAAAAAATTGAATTACGTTTAAAGGGACTTTTTTTTTTTTTAATTTTGAAGACAAAATTACAGAGAAAGAGAGAGAAAGGGAGAGAGCCGTTGGTTTACTCCCTGAATGGCAGGAACAGCTGGAGCTGGGCTGGTCTGAAGCCAGGAGCCAAGAGTTCTTCTGGGTCTCCCCCATGGGTGGCTGGGCCCAAAGCACTTGGGCCATCTTCAGCTGCTTTCTTAGACACATTCCCAGGGAGCTGCTGGGTTCCTAGGTGGCATCTTTATCTTTATCCTTTATACCACAGCGCCAGCCGCTGAAGGGAATTTTTTAAACATTGTGGAGTTAGAGAGGGAAGTTTAGTCTGCTCTGAAGGGTGGGAGGTGATCTGGAAGTTCCTCTAAATGCTCACCTCCTAACCCTGGGCAAGAAACATTGACCTGCTGTAGTAGAATCAAGCCCTAAGATTTCCGATTGTTCACTTGTCTTATATCAGCATGATGTCACAGCAGAGCAGATGCAAGCAAGGGGAGTTCTGTGGGGGTCATTCTGTTGTTAACTTGGTCATGCGTATTTATGCAGACATGCTGGCTGCTCTATCCCAGCTGTTTCCTGTTTGGTCAGGAAAGCCTCTTCAGTCTCAGCGAAATGTGCTGGGCTCTAGATAATGGCACACACACAGATCCTGTTCGTGGGTGTGGGGAGACCTCCCATTCCAGAGTCTTCCAGGAAGCTGGGGTGCATGGGAAAAGTGGGAAGGAACTGCCCATTCCCATAAGGAAAGGCACACAGCCATGGCAGATCAGAGACAGCTGGTCAATAAAATCGCCTTAGACTGTCCAGTGTTTTGGGTTCCAGTGGCAAAACCTTTGGGTTGCCAAGGCAGGAAATCAGGTGGGGTTCCATCTTTTACACATGATAGGAAGCCATCTAAGTATTTCCAGACAGGACATGACACACAAGGCAGTGACCTTGGAGGTAGAGAGAAGAGAGAGCAGAGGCAGGAAAACAAGCCAGGTTACTGAAGGGACCAACGGGGAGTGATGTGGATGAGTGAGAAGAGAGAACTGATGAACAAAAGCGGGGTCCTGTGCTAAGAGTTGGTGTCTACTGGGCTATGAGGTGGGGGAGGAAGGAAGGGGCAAAGACTGCATTTTCCCAGTCTCGGTTAAGTACATGTGAGTCACCCAGGTGTGTCCAAATGGCAGGTGGAAATGGGAAACCCAATTATGGGTCCTCTGCCTATGAATCTCAGGATGTCTGAATTGCAGCCAGTTCCGCTTTTTATTCAGGGAGCCCATTTGGGCTAATAAACTTCATAACCACTACTCACTTCATGTCAGGCTTTGGCTGTGAAGGGGAAGCTTATGGATTGAGTTGGAAGTTATTCTCTGAAAGTGCAGTCAGTAGAGATAAACATCAGAGAAGAATCTTTTCCTTCTGACAGCAGACTAGAAAATGGAAATCCCCATGTAGACCTAGAGAAACAGTAACACACGAAGATGTACAGAAGGGATACGGATTGTTTGACCTGACAACCTGGTTTAGATGACCTAATACCTGCAGACCATCTCAGACGTGATCACAACTCTGCCTTTAGATTGTCACAAGATCGAAATTAATCCTTGGCTATTCAAATGCAATGATTTGAACACCTCTGATCTTCAAACATGAAAAAAAAAAAGAGCCTGACTTTTTAAACAGCTGAAAGAAATCAACTTATGTTAGGATCAAATCCAAATAGGAATGAGACATGGAGTCAGAAGATCTCACTCACTGCATAACTCTTGGTCACTTGTTCATGCCAAGTTATAGATCATTTCTTTTGCCCAAGTCAAGGAGCTCTGAAGAGGCTTCTTCAATATCTGGATAGCCGTGGTCTTGGATCGATTGTGCTCTTACTCAGAGCTGAGGAACAAATTTTGAACAACAAAATCAAACTGCTAACTTAAAAAATATGCCTGTGGATTCTTCAAAATTCAATTAAATTGCTAATTCCTCAGTTAAGCTTTCTTTAGCAAAGAGGATTCTTATTTCCTGAATCCCAGTGACATTTTCTTGATCTCTTGTAAGATGATTATTTAGAGACACAATGTGGACTTGTGTATTAATTTATTTTGTGATGGCTCAGAGGGTTGGACCACTGCCCTCTCAGTAAGGGTGGGATTAATCAGTAGGTCATGGAGACTCTCAGTTATCAGTCATTAACTTGTGGGGATTTATCTCCTCCATTCAGAATGCATGTGCTCAGGGAGCTTTCTGACCTGCTAGTGATTTCCTGCTCATTCACTGCGATCAGCATTATGCCATAAGAATAGTGGGTTACATGGCATTGATGGGGTGTTTAGATGCTGCAGGTCTCTTTGGACTGTTATGACAGAAGTTGGGGCAGTTAACAAATCTGGGTCAAAACTTGAAGTGTTTACTGTTGCTCATTCCTCGTGAATATAAATTACTTCCAGATGTAGAGTATATTTGCAAAATCAATGGCCATGTAGGTGTACCTGAAGCCATGCTAACAGGCTATTGTAGAGATGGCACATTTGGCTTAGTGGCTGCAATTTGGGCCACAGCAGTGTGTAGTAGCACTGGCTGGTTTCTTCAGGGATACGACCCATAAGTCAAATGGTGTTTCTTGGCCTCACCAGCTCTATGTCCTTTAGAACCTTAAAGAGCCAGCACTTCTGCATCCCTTCCCCCCACCATCACTCTCCCGAGGCAGGGTTGTTGAAGAGGTAAAGTCTAGGTAGTGCGTTTCTGTGTCCATTACACAAGGCTTGAACAGCTTTTACCTTTTTTCCCAATCCATTCACTACCTATCATTGAGTCAAAATGAGGCCGTTAAACACATACATGACATTTAGTTCCTCTACTTGGACTCCTGCAATGATTTCCTACTGTCCTTCAAATAAAATCAGTTTCTTAGTAAGACCTGCGGATTCCTGGGGCTAGGGTTGGGGCTTAGCAGGTAAAGCTACCTCAAGCAACACTGGCATCCCATATGGTGCCGGTTTGTGTCGCAGTTACTCCATCTGATCTAGTTCCCAGATGATGGCCTGGTTAAAGCACTGGAAGATGGTCCAAATGTTTGTGCTCTCACCATCAATGTGGGAGATGGGGATAAAGTTCCTGGCTCCAGGCTTTGGTCTGATCCAACTCTGGCAGTTACAACCATCTAGAGAATGAAGCAGCAGATGGAAAATCTCTGTCACTCCCTGTGTGTATTCTTTCAAATGAATAAATAATTTTTAAGAGACCTACCGATTCCCGCATGATCTCCATTCTGCTTAGATGCTTGACTGCTAATGTAGGATTCCTCATCTTGTGCACAAGCCTCCCTCCAGTCATGGGTCTTCCTCATTAGGACATCTTCACGTGCCTTTCCCTCTGCTGAGAACACCTTCCCCAGCAGGCTAGAGTATGGCTTGCTCTGCATCATTCTGTTCTCAACTCAAATGATTTCTTCTGTGAGGTCTGCCTTGGCACCAATGTCCCAGTTGCAATCTCCTACAGCTAGCTAGTCTGTTCATCCGTTTGTCTATGTGTCCCCTCTGATTGGAATATAAGAGCAAGCAACAGCAGCAGAACACAGAGCAGCAATAGGTTGTGACTTCCTCTTGGCTCATCGAAGTTTTGGTTCTACTGGAGATTGACTTAGCAATAGACAGATCTGTATAGATGAACTAGGAATTGTACTCTGGAATAAGAAGGCCTTTCTTCACATCCCTTCCCTGGGAAAACTAGGTTTACAGATGTTGTAGGTGTCTTTATGTGCAACCAGTCTACTATAGTTTTTAAAAATAAAATTATGCAATATCCTACAGCTAGTTTTGTTGTTATTTTTGCTCAGCATCATTTTAGCCATTCTTGATCTTTTTTGATTCCATATGAATTTTAGAATCTTTTTTCTATTTCTGTAAATAATGCCATTGGTATTTTGATAGGGTTGCAGTCTGTATATTGCTTTATGCTGTATCAACATTTCAATGATATTGGCAATTCCAATTCATGATCAAGGAATATCTTTCCATTTCTTGTGTGTGTGCTTGATGATTTCTTTCATTACAGAGATCTTTCACTTCTTTTGTTAAATTTGTCACTTAATATTTTACTTTTTATGGCTATTGTGAATGGGATTTCTTTCTTGATTTCTATTTTGTTGAGTCCATAATTAGAGTATAAAAAAGCTACAATGTTTGTATGTTAGTTTTGCAACCTGCAAATTTTCTGAATTGATTTATTAGTTCTAACAGCTTTTTGGTGTTAGATGTTCCGTGGAGTGTTTAGGTTTTTTCATGCACAAATCATGTCATCTCTAAATATAGATATTTTGACTTCTTTCTTTCCAATTTTGATGCCCATCTTTCTCCTTCCTAATTGTCCTTGCTAATAATTTTAGTAACATATTGAATAAGAGTGTTGAAAGGAAACATTCTTATCTTGTTCCACATCTGAGAGGAAATGCTTTCAGCTTTTCCTTGTTCAGTATAATATTGACTGTTGATTTGTCATAAATAGCTTTTATAATTTTGAAGTATTTTCTTCTTCTGTAACTAATTTGTGAAGCATTTTAATCCTGAAAGGATTTTGAATCTTATCAAACGCTTTCTCTGCATGTACTGCGATGACCATATGATTATTTTTCTTCATTCTGTTGCTGTGATTTATGATGCTTATTGATTTATGAATGTTGAACCACATTTCTCAGGAAAATTCCACTTGATCGAGATGCATGATCTTTTTGATGTGGTTTTTGATTCAGTTTGCCAGTATTTTGTTGAGAACTTTGGCATCTGTATTCATCAAGGATACAGGTCTATAGTTTTCTTTTCATGTCATGTCTTTGGTTTTGATATCAGAGTGATGCTGTCCTCATAAAAAAAGTCCGGCAAATTTCCATCCTGTTCAATATTTTGAGATAATATGCAAAGTGTTTAAGTTAGTTTCTCTTTAAATGTTTTCTATATTTCAGTAAGAAAACCATCAGGTCCTGGACTTTTCCTTGATGGAGGACTTTTAATTATTGCTTCAATCGCATAGCTTGTTATGAGTGTGTTTTATCTTCTTCGTCTAACCTTGGTGGATTATATGTATCCAGGAATTTACCCATTTCTCTGAGATTTTCCAGTTTGTTAACACACAGTTTTTCACTCCTGCTCATTTTTGGTTTCCATTTGCCTGATATCTCTCTTTCTGGTTGTTCATTTTCAGTGAGTATCTCTGTTTGTGAAGTGAGTTTCTTGTGGACAGCATGTAGTGAAGTCTTGGTTTTTTATGCTTTTTTTTAACTTTTATTTAATGAATATAAATTTCCAAAGTACAGCTTTTTATGCTTTTAATCTAGTTCCTTTTAGTATTTTTAAAATATTCACTTATTTATTTGAAAGGTATAGGTGCAGAGAGAGAAAGAAGGAGAGACAGAGAGAGGGAATGAGATCTTCCATCTGCTGGTTTACTCCCAAATTGCCCAACAGTGAACTGGAGCTGGGTCAGTCCAAAGGCAGGAACCTGGAGGAACTTCCTGTAGGTCTCCCATGTGCAGGGACCCAAGCACTTAGGTCATCTTCCACTGCTGGGAGCTGTATCAGAAGTGAAATATCCAGGACAACAACCAGAGCTCATATAGGATGCCAGAGTTTCAGGTGGCAGCTTTACTCGTTATTCCACAATGCTGGTCCCAGTCTTTTTAGTATTGTTGCATAAGAATTGACACCTGTCATTTTATTGGTTAGATACTGTTTCTACTAGCTCTATTAGTGGATTTTGTGATGTCTCGTATTTTCATGATCTTGACTTTTAATATTGGACTCCCTTTAGAATTTCTTGTAAGACTGGTCTGGTGGCAGTGAATTCTCTCAGTTTTTGATCATCTAGGGAATACTTATATCTTTCATTTCTAAAGGATAACTTTGCTGGATATAATATCCTTGTTTGGAAGTTTTTCTTTTATGACCTTGAATCCTACTCTCTTCTGGACTCTAGGGCTTTTGCTAAGAAGTCTCCTGTTAGTCTAATTGGCTTTCCTATATATGTAATTTGATTCTTCTTACTAATTTTGTGAAATGAGATAGGAGAGTCAAGTGAAGACCAGACTGTGTAGGACTGAGCCCCTCACAGTGTGCTGGTGGCTTCAGTGTCCCCTGGGAGTCTGTTGTAAATGCAAAACCTCAGGCCCCTCCTCTCAGCCTGCTGAGTGGGAATCTGCATTTTCATGAGATTATCAGATGCTCCATTTGCAAATTAAAATATCAAAAACACTTAGCATGGGTAAAGAGTTTTTTAAGGTGTTTGATTTTTATCACCAGTGGTAAAAAGCCAATGACATGAGGAAGGGGTTGGGCCTAAAGTAAATTTTTGAAAGTCCTTCTGTGCAGGGAATAGACCATGGGAGGGAGTAAAGGAGCTGGGGAGGCTGCTGCTGCAGGGGGTGCAGGCAGGAGGTGCTGGTAGCTGCACCATCCTCTTGCCTCTGTTGGCATGCACATTAGATGCGACAGGCTTATGACTGTCCGTGTGTGTTCAGATGGTTTACATGAAACACAGCTTGCATGCTCCATCTTTAAAAACAAATCGTGACTACTTCTCCAATTCTCAGATGCAAGTATGTATGGATATTTTTAGTATTTTTTTTAAAAATTTAGCAATTAGTCTTCTGTGCTAATTAGAATTTTCACATTAAAAGAAGAGCTATCTATGAAATCAAGATAACTGAAAGTGATCGAGCAATTCCAAGGTGACTTTAAAATAGATATTTATGAAATCATCAAATAGTAAGGCAGAAGTAATATCTGTAAATACAAGTAAAGATCACAGTAAATTAATATTCTATTGAAAATCTTAACAATAGAAAAGACTACTGAAATTTGAAAATACTTAAAAACAAGTCATCCTTAACAACAAGTCGTGACTATCCAATTCTCAGATGAAGGGTAATTTATGGATATTTTTACTTTTTAAAAAATGTTGGCACTTACTCTTCTGTGCTAATTACACTTTCAACATGAAAAGAAGAGCTATCTATGAAATCAAGAAGAGCTGAAGGTGATTGAGCAATTTGAAGATAACTTTAAAATAGATATTTATGGAATCATCAAATAGTAAGACAGAAGTAATACCCATAAATAGAAGTAAGGGATCATAGCAAATTAAGATGACATTGAAAACCTTAATAATAAAAAAAGACTATTGAAATTATAAAATGCATTGATAGATGAAATAAGACTTTGACCAGACAGAATTAGGAAGAAGGATAACAGTAGTCAACATTTACCTATACTGTATTACAGGTGATATAAAATAAAAGAAGAAAAGGGGCTTAAAGTATCCACTTAAAGAACCAACACACATCTGATAACAGTTCCAGAAGGAAAGGATGAAATTAAATAGACACAATATTCAACGCATTGATAGATGAGAAATCTAGAATTGACAGAGATGTGTTCTCATATGGAAACACTTATAAAGCACAAAGCAAGAGAAAAAACCATTGTCCCTCAGACACATCATAGTGAGACTGAAGAACACTAAGAGTGAAAGGGTTAGTGGTAAAATTATATACCTCATCAATGGAAATGAGCTAGATCAATAAAATGTACAAGGGCAGTGTTCCTGTGGCCTACCTAGCATAGCCATACTCTCTTGGCAGATATGAAGGCTCTTCCTGCCAGGCAGGGACTGCTCCAGCCTGTCTCAGACTCTTGTCATTACTGCCCTTTCTGACTTGTAGCTCCTCCATCAGGATCTTGGATCTCCCTGATACAGAACTTGAGAGAGCTTCCCCTGGTGTAGCTGCATAGAGCTGCTGTGTCACAGCCCCTGTGCATTCTGATGGGTGGTTGCCTAGGACCCACAGTGATCTGTGATGTGACATCATAATATCAACCCAGGGTGGCTGCCAACTACCATTACTAATAGATGCCAGGCTGCTTCTTAGGTAAAATACTTCCAAATATTCACAAATGAAGAGAGTTCACTTGTAAATTCTAAAACCTGTTGGAAATTCTAAGCAAAAGGAAGCATTTCAATGGAATATATGTGAATCTCAAGAATCCGAATGCAAGAAATAAAAATGAGCAAAGAACATAGACAATTTTACTAAAGATGCTAAAAAAAAGAAACAAGCTATTTGGAGGAACACAAAACATTGATGGTAGGCCAACTTACCTGGGAGCAGTTTGTGGGAAAATAGTAAAGTGATTGTAATGCTATCTAAAATTCTGTTACATTCTCCATCTCATTGAGAAGAAAAATCAAGATATATAAAGAATTTAGACAGTATTAGAAGAAGTTAGAAATAAGCATGCATGTAAAATATATGATGACTACCAAAGGAAGGCATTCGAACATGAGGGTAAGCATGGGCTTTCACAGAAGCATGAATGATCAGTGAAGATGTACTAACCCGCTCTTAATCAGCAGGTATTGCAAATTATGATGACAATGAGAAGCATTTTTACAACCTTAGGAATACAGGACTTAAGAATTCTGACAGAGGCAGATTTTAGCATTTTTTATAGCTCTTCTTATTGTTATATAACATGGGAGAAATGCCTAGCAAAAATAGGATGAGTAATTTGTTGCATCTGGCTACATAATAGAATACTATATAGGAATAAACATGACTGAAATACAGCTTTATGAGGCAGCATATGGCTTACTCTTAGTAATGTGAGAAGCAGAGATGACATGCTAAATTACATACTTTTGTAAATTATAACAAGAGGCAAAACAAAATGATACATGCTTTTCCTACATAAATGTGTAAGTTGTATGGTTGCAGAAAAGAAGGAAGGAAAAGAGAAAAACAAGAAAATGGCTAAATAGATGATCATTTATACAATGTGATATCATAGAGAAATTCAGATAGGCACAAATTCAAGAGTACATCAATAGCCTAAACACAAGTTACTAAAATGTAATGTTGGGTGAATGAATCACTGCATGATGTCATTTATGAAGGCCAACATCGCCAACTTTTTCTATCTAGTTTATTGATATATGATACATAGTAGAGGCATGGATGCACAAAGTACATCCACATTCATGATAGTGTTTTGTATAGTGTGGGAGGTATGGCTTGGATGGCAGATCCATGTGTGCTTTTATTTTCCTGACTTTTAAGAATTATATATATATATATATAAAAGTATGAATAGTTGACAGATTAAAAAAAAAACACTTATTTGAGAACCCAAGGGATCCATTCTCCACTCTGTCACTTTTCTAAATTGCAAGGGAGCATTTTCTTACTTCAACCTCATTCGAAGTCCCCACTTCTAGGGATTGGTGCTTGGCCTCATGGTTGAGCTTGGGTTTGAGTGCAGCTCTCCTCTCAACTCTAGTTTCCTGTTAATGTAGAACCCAGTAGACAGCAGGTGTTGACTCAATTACTTGAGTCCCTCCCACCCATGGAGTACATCTGCACTGAGTTTCACCCTGGCCCTGCTCTACCCATTGTAAGCTTTGGGGAGTGAACCAGCAGAGAGGAGCACACTCTCTCCTTTTCTCTCTCTCTGTATGTCTCATCTGATAGCCTGCAATGTGACATATGACTTGCGACTTCATTGTTTTACGGAAGATGCTGTTGGCCTGGGTGTTACATTAAGTTGTGCTTTGAAGCAGATGATTCTAAGATGGTGATTTCAGTTTAATATGAGAATAGTATTATGGGTTGTTCAGTGACTTTAGGCATCCCTCAGTAAATGTCTCCAAGTGTTGCCAAGTTTCAGAAAAGGCGTGTGTGAGGAAAATAACACCTGTAGTTTGGGAGAGGATGCCTCACTGGGTAGTTTACCTCAAGATAACAATGAATGTCAAGAGGGTGCAATTAGGGACAGGCACTCTGGCAAAGAGGGTAAAACTGCTGCCTGAGGTGCCAGCACCCTTCATGGGCACAGGTTTGAGTTCTGACTTCACTTCTGATCGAAGTCTCTGCTAATGTGCCTGGGAAAGCAGCAGAAAATGGCCTGGGTCCTTGAGCTCCTGCACCATGTGTGAGACCCAGAAGAAGCTCCTGGGTCCTGGTTTCACATTGACCCAGCTCTGGCCATTGCAGCTATCTGGGGAATGAACCAGCAGATGGAAGATTTCTCTCTCTTTCTCTCCCCTGTCTTTCTCCCTTTCAAGTAAATAAATAAATAAAAGAGGGTGTAATCAGAAATGTCACAGCCTTGGGCAGCATGAACATTACTGGTCCTGGTTCAACCCTAAACTCATTAGGAACTCAGGGAATTCACCACATGGAAAGAATTTCAGAGGTGGATAGACCTGGATTCGAACCCTCTCCACTACAAAACTCCTAGCTCTATGAGTATAATACCTAATCTCCTTAATCCTCAGGGTTCAACTTCTCAGAGACACTAAAAGATGTAAGTTCAGTGAGAAGTGGCAGACGGAACACCTGACAGCTCCTGGCACATTACTATAGTTAATAAATGCAACTAATATTGTTTCCCTGCTCCCACTTAAATCACTACATTATTTTACTGGTAATAGTACTAATCCCTAACTTTTAATGTTTTATGTGTTAGTTCATGAACATTAACTTACTATATATTCATATATAGATGAATATGTAGCATTCTTAAAACAAAATAATGTTTCATCTCCATTTCAGCAAGGGCAAGAAGTGTTTATGGACTTACCACTGTTTAAATCAGGTACATAGTCCTTGGATATTTTGCATAAAAAAGACCTCAAAGTAATCAACTTTGGAATGTATATAGTTCATAGCTCTCCTCATAATGTGTGCAAAGTAATCAGAAAATCCATATTATTTTCTTCCACGAGCATTATAGATTTGAGATCATTGTATATATAAAAATATTCTTTATGGAAAGACCATTAAACCTTAAAAACTAATAATAATAGAGTCTTGCCATTTTAATAGGGTTATAAACTTTCCAAAGTATTTTTAGACACATTCTTTCACCAGGTAATGGGAATCCAAACCAACATGTCATAAAAAGAAGATAACCTTATGAGGAATGTTCTACTTTTATACAAATGACTTGCAAGGCATATTCGCGAGTTTCCTCTTTTGGCAGTAACCTGTGATCTCTATACTTTATAGAAATGAGAGTGCTGCCTTTGAAGGCATTGAACGTAGAGTTGGACAGATTTGAGCAGGTCCAGTTTCTGCTCTTTGGGAACTGTGCAATGTTGGGCAAACTGTTAACTTCCCTGAGCTAGAGTTTTCCATCTGTTAAAAAGGCTATGGCAGGGCTGGTGCTTTGGTATAGTGGGAAAGCCACTGCCTGGAGTGCTGGCATCCCATATGGGCACTGCTTTGAATCCCAGTTGCTCCACTTCTAATCCAGCTCTCTGCTATGGCCTGGGAAAGCAGTGGAAGATGGTTCAAGTCCTTGGGCCCCTGCACCCACATGGGAGACCCGGAAGAAGCTCTTGGCTCCTGGCTTCAGATCCTCCCAGCTTCCGCTGTTGCAGCCATTTGGGGAATGAACCAGTAGATGGAAGACCTCTCTCCCTCTCCTTCTTTCTCTCTTCATCTGCTTCTCTGTAACTTTGCCTTTCAAATTAAAAAATCTTTTTTTTTAAAAAAAAGGACTATGGTAATATCCATTCTTCCAAGGTACTGAAGAGATTAAATTAACCTCTCTATGGAATTGTGCTTACTGTATTATGTGAATGCTAAATAAATGTGGTTGTTTTATTTTATTTATTTATTTATTTGAAAGAGTTACAGAGAAGTGAGGGAAGATAGATAAGTGATATTTAGATAGATACATAGATCAATTGATTGATAGATCGATCTTTATCCGCTGAATCACTCCCCAAATGGCCACCATAGCCAGGGCTCAGAAGGGTTGAAGCCAGGAGTCAGGAACTCCATCTGGGTCTCCCACATGGGTGGCAGAGGTCCAAATACTTGAGTCATCATTCACTGCCTTCCCAGACACGTTTAGGAGGCAGCTGGATCGGAAGTGGAGCAGCCAAGACTTGAACCACAGCTCTCGTGTGGATGCAAGTGGCAGCTTACCTGCTGCACCGCAACAGCATTCCCTGCTTCTGATGTTAATCTCTCAACCTTCACCAGATGGGGGTTTTGTTTGGTTTGGACAGAAAGTGCCTGTGAACTGTGCAAACAGCATGGAGTGGGCAAGAGGATCCCAACAAAAGACCTCAGGAAGGTCTGACTCTTGGCGTGGATGTAAGTCTCAGAGCGGAAGCTGGTTCTTAATAGCTGTGACCATTTTCAGAAGCAGTAACTGCGTAAAGACATCATCTGTGGGGAAGTAGGTAAATGCCACACACATGCCTAGTGTGGGGGAAGGAGTGGGGATTGCACATCCTTTCCTGCCATGGTGTGATTCCTGCTGGGGTGTCAGCAGAGCACCGCTGGGCTGCAGTAAAGGAAAGGATAATTTGAGGGAGAAGCTACTTTCTGAAACCAGCATCACAGATGTGTCTCCCTCTGGTTGGGTTAATAACGTAAGATGACTGGCAAAATATTTATCACATAGAGTGATCCAGGCAGTATTTTTGTGCTGTCATTTCTATAGCAGCATTAGCCCATGAATCAGTAGCCCATGAATCAGAAAATAAATAGATGGCGGGTGTCTACCTTGGCTCCAGTGTTCAGCAGTAAGTTCTGTTTGAGAACCAGTAGATTCTGTTTTCTCTGAATGGTGCATGGCTCTGTCTTCACTGTGGGTGTTGGTCACACAGAAGGGGTTAACCAGGATGGAGCCATGATGGGACTGTGGACTTGGGTATGTGCCGAATGAATGAATGTCAGATTG